TCAGACGTTTGCACTGGGCCAGGGGTCATTTAAAATGGAGTGTGGCAAAATGGAAGACTGTTCTGTGGTCAGATGAGTCACGATTTAAAGTTCTTTATGGAACACTGGGACGCCATGTCATCCGGACCAGAGACAAGGACAGGAGGCTCGGACCTGTTTGATTAGTTAAATCCAGGTGGAGACTTGTTTTTTGACCAGTGCGTGCGCATACACACTTTATGTATTGATTTTTTTTTCTCTTTCAAATATTAAAAACTGCAAACAGTTTAATGTTCGAGTAAACAGGCTGCAAAAATAACTAAGCACTTTGAGATTTTTTGCATTCAACTTTATTTCTACAGGTTAGTCTCATTAAGCCTCGAGGACTCATTTACAAGAGAGAACTTTTTAAACTAAAAACACAGATGAGCTACAGACAAACAAGAGAATGCAAAAAATAATTTTACAAGACATTCAAATCAAGGTGCCATATAAAGCAAGGTAAAATACTGAACAGAAACATGCTTGCTTTGAATTTTTCTATAATTTAAAATCCCTCAAAGAAATCAAGGTGGACAGCTTCAGATCCTGTTGCAAGGTGTTCAGGTTGCAGGAGATGAGTAGGTAATGGTCTTTTTGCCAAGGTCAGTCCACAATGAGGGAACGCTGCAGGTAATGATGGCCTGAGAGCGCACGCTGTAGCTGCACGGACATGTAGGAGATACAAGAATGCAGCAGGCCAAGGAGGGATTTACAGATGAAAATGTACCACTACGAGCTCAACAATAAACAACTATCGTCGGCATAAAAATGCAAGGAGGCATCAGGAACGTTCTGACATGCATATATAAAATTGTAGAATGGGTCCAAAGACTGGGCCTTGTGGTACACCATTGACTGTTAAATATCTAGATGTACCATTGTGTTGAACACATTGCTTTCCGCCTGAGAGAAATTTATTTTTTCATTCAACCTTTATTTCTACAGGTAAATCCCATTGAGCCTCGAGGACTCATTTACAAGAGAGACCTGATTTCAACAAAGAATCATGACAACAATGGACAACAGTGACAACAATAAATTAGAACACCCATCTAATGTGAGAAGCCAATTTCTGAGAGCTTATGACACAAGATGTCACGATCCACAGTGTCAAAAGCTTTAGACAGGACTACGTAAAGTGCAGCACAATAATCCTTAGCATCCAGTGCTTCGTCATAAACACATTAAGCGAAGCACTCTTGCAGTTTCTTGAAGCCAGACTGTCTGGGGGATAAAATATTACAAGAATCCAAATACTTCTTGGCATGAGTATTTACCAGTGTTTCTAGAACCTTTGTTAAAATGCAGTTTAGAGATTGGTCGATAGTTCAGTGAGGAGGGGTCATTTTGTCAACGCAGTGCAGAGTTGAAATGTTTAAGAGTTTGGATTCAACATTCAAACCACAAAATGTTCAGTGAAAAGTTTTTTATTAGTTTCATTTACAGTGGCCTGTCCTTCACTACGATTGGTCCAACGGTCCTTTCTTCTTCCAGTGGAGAACCTGCAACACAAACAGCAGAACAGTGTAAGGAGCATTTCTTTTCATTTACAGGAGATTCAGCCCAGAATGGAGAAAACTACTGATTCATCAGGCGTGAGTCCGTGCTCAAGTACAAAACTTTAAATTCTCGTTGTTTCACAACAGTCCTGCATCATGAACAAGTTTCGCATTCAGACTTTCAGCCGTTTGTCCACATTAACTGCACCTGACCCACAAGAAATGACTAAACTCATTTTGTAGTTTCTTAAACTGACGCACAAATTAAAGAAGTTCTGACAGAACGGAACTCGTGTTTTATGATTTGAGGACCACTTCGTTCAGCTGTGAAGCAGGTTGCAGCCTTCAGCAGCGCAGCCTTCACCTGACTGAAAGACTAAAATGTTTTTAGATTTATTCTGCACAACTAAACTGCTTCAATGAGAATTAAAACAAGTCTAATTAGCAGCTCCTCATCCTGCAGTCTTTGTTTGAAGTTGGAGTTAAAGGACTCAGAGCTGCCTCACAACTGTTCCAAGTTACTTTAGAAACATCTCAGACACCATGTGAAGTCTCTCCAGGTGAGAACAGAAGCTACCTGAAACTCTGCAGCACAATTTACGGCAGAGCGCTCCTAAACAGCCACTCTTTGAAATGGGTTCATAATAGATGGTGGTGGTTCCAAGACATTTGTCCAGATGGAGAAAGACCCTGGGGTCTGGAGACGAGCGTCTCTGCTCTGCATCTCCCAACAGCTAATCCAATTCATTCAACATTTATTTTTACAAGTTAATCCCATTGAGCTTCGAGGACTCATTTACAAGAGAGACCTGATTTAACAAAGAAAGATGAAACAATGGACAACAACGACACGACAATAGATAATCATAAGAGACGCATTTAGTTTTTAACAAGTGAAAATAAAATGGTAATTAAAAGGAAACTAGCAAAAAACAGCTAGATTATAAGGTGATGTAGAAAAATGACAGGAACATGTCTGTGTTGGTTTCTTCCAGGAACTTAGATGTTTGAAGCCACTTAGAAAGGTCAAAGGTCGAGAGCTTCAGATCTTTTTACAAGCTATTCCAGGAACCAGGAGCGGAGTAGGAGAAGGTCCTTTTGTCTAGTTCAGTCCTCACTGAGGGAACACTGCAGGTAATGATGTCCTGAGAGCGCACGCTGTAGCGGCAACAACAGTGGGACATCATTGGTCATTTTAAGAGACCCAATAACTTGGTGCTCCAGTTCTTAGCTTTTACTTAACAGTTGGTTTTCTGCATCCAACCATAGGATTCCACCCCCAACCTAAAAAGGAGGTTGTACAGGTCCTTCTAAAAAAATTAGCATAGTGTGATAAAGGTCATTATTTTCCATAATGTAATTATAAAAATGAAAATTTCATACATTTCAGATTCATTGCACACCAACTGAAATATTTCAGGTCTTTAATTGTTTTAATACTGATGATTATGGCATACAGCTCATGAAAACCCAAAATGCCTGTCCCAAAAAATGAGCATATCATGAAAAGGTTCTCTAAACAAGCTATTAACCTAACCATCTGAATCAACGACGTAACTCTAAACACCTGCAAAAGATTCCTGAGGCTTTTAAAAACTCCCAGCCTTGTTCATTACTCAAAACCACAATCATGGGTAAGACTGCCGACCTGACTGCTGTCCAGAAGGCCATCATTGACACCCTAAAGCAAGAGGGTAAGACACAGAAAGAAATTGCTGAACCAATAGGCTGTTCCCAGAGTGCTGTATCAAGGCACCTCAGTGGGAAGTCTGTGGGAAGGGAAAAGTGTGGCAGAAAACACTGCACAACGAGAAGAGGTGACCGGACCCTGAGGAGGATTGTGGAGAAGGGCCAATTCCAGACCTTGGGGGACCTGCGGAAGCAGTGGACTGAGTCTGGAGTAGAAACATCCAGAGCCACCGTGCACAGGCGTGTGCAGGAAATGGGCTACAGGTGCCGCATTCCCCAGGTCAAGCCACTTTTGAACCAGAAACAGCGGCAGCAGCGCCTGACCTGGGCTACAGAGAAGCAGCACTGGACTGTTGCTCAGTGGTCCAAAGTACTTTTTTCGGATGAAAGAAAATTTTGCATGTCATTCGGAAATCAAGGTGCCAGAGTCTGGAGGAAGACTGGGGAGAAGGAAATGCCAAAATGCCAGAAGTCCAGTGTGAAGCACCCACAGTCAGTGATGGTCTGGGGTG